GACACCGGTCTCCACGTCCTGCATTTTGGATTCACGCCCGCGACTTTAGAATAACCCCCTTATTGTACGATACTAGCTAGAGCAAACGCCCTAACCACTTCGCCACGCTGACGACCACACACTGTAAGGACGACAGACCTAATTCGAAATTTCGCGCCACTGCACAGAAAGTCGCGCATCTGCCTTGAATCAGATTGACGTCATTAAGTAGAACTGATTGATTGATTGTATATTGTTTAACGTCCCTCTCCAGAATATTTCACTGATATGGAGACGTCACCATTGCCGGTGAAGGGCTGCAAATTTAGGCCTTTGCTCGGCACTTACGGCCTTTGAGCAGGGAGGGATCTTTATCGTGCCACACCTGCTGTGACACGGGGCCTCGGTTTATACGGTCTCATCCGAAGGACCGCCCCATTTAGTCGCCTTTGACGACAAGCAAGGGGGTACTGAGGACTTATTCTAACCCGGATCCCCACGGGGTAAGTAGAACTGAAGAAGACTCATAATGATTTTCTAAACCTAAAACTTATTAATCAAGTATTGAAATAACAACAATTAGCCTGGCGATAACAATTATTGTATTAAATAAAATAAAGATTTACAGAAAGAAAGAAAAACAGACGACAATTTCTGTAAGTAACAATCAACGCAAAAAAGGTAAATTTATATCCAAAAAAACATTTCGGCCATTCAGGAAAAACGACGTCAGAATATTTCAAAAGCTCGAATCTCTTGACATTCCCATTTTTATAAACACGACTATGCTTCCAAATCGTCGAAGACCGGATACATAACGAAGAGCCTGATTATGTTGGAGACTCTGCTGGAGTTGGAAAATTAAAACCTTTAGATTTTTATCGCTTTCTTTGTTGATTTTAAATTCGTAATCCAACAACTCAACCACCAGATGTGTGAGAATGATATTGCATTGAAGAATAGTGTGGGCGTATTACCATCGGGAGTTTGCGGGCACTTGGTTGTGAAGTGTTTGATATGTGAAAATTTAAATAAAGTTGCGATGGGGGTACACACCAAGAGCCAGGAAAACCAGGACCTAAAAATTTTTGATGTCAATTCAAAGCTTGGAACAGGTAATGATATTTACCGCGATATCCTCGAGGACACACACGGTAAAACTTCCCAAATGTGGAGACACAGATTCCGCTGTTGTGACATGTAAGCATCAGTCACTACAACATGTATATTATTAGAAAGGCAGTACTTTAAGGTAGTATTTTAGATGTATGAATTCTATACTCTGGTATTTTACTTTGCACAGCATATTACTTGTTCCGCACAGCTTTCCTGCCCAGCCATTTTTACACAAACAGGAAAATGTAGAATTTTCAATGATGCAAAGACCTTCATTTTGGCAAGGCAACTGGGTACATGTACTATAGTTTGTTAAAAGAATATTTTTGAAATAAAAAGTAATGATAATAAGTGATGCAATCTAATTGCAAAAATGCATATTAATAAATCTTGAAAGAAAGAGTAATGGTTACCTTTGGTGCAGTTGCCTGGCGAAGCACACGACACACACTGAACCACCAAAGGTATTATTGCAGCTTTTCGGTTGTGCCATTTTCCATTAAGAATGAGAGTAAAATTCTTAGTGATGTTTGTTATACGACCTCTGAGAATTTTTCACTCAGATTGAGTCACCATCTCTTGTCTGTGGTAGCTAAAGGCTGCAAATTTATACCTGTACTTATGGATCACGCCTTACTCCACAACCCTTTAGCAAACGGTTTGACTTAGACATAATTGAATGGTGATTTGGTAACCGTTGTGATCATTGAGACTTTGGTGAGTGTGCCCTCTGGAGAATTTTTCAGTCATATGGATACGCCATTATTTGCCGGTGGAGAGCTGCATGATATTTTGTCATATGCTTGGCACTCAGGGTCATTGAGCAGTGAGGGATCTTTTTCGTGCCAGCACACACTGCGACACGGGTCCTAGGTTTATACGGTCTTATCCGAAGGACCAGTCTCCCCGTTCCACTGTGGGAATCGAACCTGCGATGTAAGGATCAAGTCTTTGCGACTCTGGAGCAGTCGGTCTAACCACTGTGCCACATGGACGACTTTGAGAGTTTGGTAAAAATCCACTTCCTTGACATGCATCTCATGAAAGATAAATTATTTCAGCTGAACTACATGTATACTAGCCACATTAGCAGTAGAGTGGCAGTCGCTCGATTTTATTTTTTGGAAAAAAAATTTCCGTTTGAAAAATAAATTATACTACTCAGAAATGTTATAAATGCAAGTTTTAGAATTTTAGTCTGAAATATGAAGAAGAAGACAGGGATACGTGACCTAATTGCAGTATATACTAGTCCGTTTGAAAAATAAATTATACAACCAAGAAATGTTATAAACGCAAGTTTTAGAATTTTAGTCTGAAATATGAAGATACGATCACCAGAAGCAGAAGAAAGACAGGGATACGTGACTAAATAGCAATATTACCACTCCTCCTTTAAAATCAAAGGAATATGTTACAAAATTTGAACTTTTAGTACATTCTGACGCACATGCAAACGTCGACTAAACAGTATACTCGAATATACTAATTCCTTCCCTGGACGGATTAAATATAATCCCATTGCAAAGATTATAAACTTCTTTTGTTTCCCAATAGAAAAGTTGCCAAATTTTCATTAAACCTAACCATATACAGGTATTTCATGCAAATCCTCATTAAATGTAGAGGAACCATCGTGTTTTTAATTGTGTTATTTGAATGATACTGGTAACTTGATGTGAGAGGTATGGTATATTGTAAATATTTTATTAATTAATTTTAACTTTAATTTTGATAATGTGTCTTTATTGCAATGCATTGTAAAACCACATTTTATCGAAAGTATTAATTCTTTCCGATTCTGAAGAACTTCGTTCGAAAAAAGCAGCCTTCTTGTATAAATCAAACTCGAAAATTCTTTTTTCAGAAATCTCTATATCTTGGTGCATATGGCTTTAACAGCACTTTATACATGTATATATTAGATATATCACCTGATATCAAGACGATTGTCTAAAGCATTAATTTTAAAAATTCTTTTTAATCCTTTTTATCTGCGTGTTACTTGAAACGTTCCTTGTAATTCTAGATCTATCTGTCTTGTATGGATCTGTAAACAAAAGCGTTTTTGCATTTTTTAATTTAAATAATCAACATGTTTATTACCCTTGTTATGTTCCCCAAACGAAGTTGGGGAACATATTGTTTTTACTCTGTTTCTTATTATTATTATTATTATTTTTCTTCTTCTTCCTGGGTACTTTTTTGTCCGGGAATGATCTTGTAAACTGTTCGTCCGATGTAGGTAAAACCTTTTTAGGGTCAGTAGACATGTTATGTAGATTTGCGGAATCAAGGTCATTTTGCGCGCACGTGCTTGAAAGAGCGCGCACGTGCAACACGTGAAATGACCAATATAATGGATATTGCCGTAACTTTTCTATTTTTTGATGAAATATAGATGTTAATGTAAGGATACATTAGTAGTATAGACAAGCTGGCATGGTCAAAATAGCAAGAACTCACACGCATGCACGTGCGCTTCGCTCTGATTGGCTGAAACTAAATCAATATCTTTCTTGTTTCTTGTCATAATCCTTTGAAATTTTGAACATAGTCCTACATTATGAAGATCTACAGCATGATATAAAAGAATGTTCATGAAAGCATGCGCATGCGCGTGTGCTGCAATCTGATTGGCTGAAACTTTAAATGGCTATATTTCCTTTGTATTTTGACGAAATGCTTTGAAATTTGAAATATAGTCATGCATTAGGATATCCTACAATATGATATAGAAAAAAATTCATGAAATTACGCGCATGCACGTGTTATCTGATTGGCTGAAACTTGAAATGGCTAAAACTTGTTTTTCAACCAAACAGGATGGGATTCAGAATATAGATAGATATAGAGGACTCCTACAGGAAGGTATGGTGATCATGCTCGTGCACGCACGTGCGTGCATTTCGAAAGAGTGAAATTTAAAAAACCTTGAATGAGTGATTTTTAATACTTTTGGACTGAATGCTTTAATATGTAGTATAATAAAATGTATCGATAGTGTAGACAAGATGATATGGTTATATCGCACATGTATTCGCATGCGCACAGGTGCAATGCTAAAATTTAAATATAATTGGTATCCTTCTGGGAAAACGTTGTTAAAGTCATAAATGCACAGAGGTTGTCTTATTTAATGAAGCTTACCGGGAATATGGCACCAAAAGGGAGTTGGGGAGCGTTTGGGGAACATCTGTAACGGTTCCCGTTACAATTAGCACTAGTTACAAGCAGTGTTACTCTATTTAGAAACATAATCCACTAAACCTTATTAATCTCCATTGGGACAGGGTGATCCTCGTGTTAAATGTTTGTCTGTAATTGGATTAACTCAGCTAGTCTATCCAGTGATTTTAATCCATTGTAAGTGTGAGAATTTCGGAGGAAAAGAGACTACAGGCTACAGTGCTTTAAATATATTTTTTGTGGTTCCATCCAAGGTCACACGGGTTCATGCAGTCAGAGGTTTAAAACTTTGGAAATATTGTTATAAAATGTTGATTTTAATTAAATTCAAAACTTTAATATTGCTCTTTTTGTAAATTTTAACCTCCGTATTTCATTCCTATGCTGAGAAAAATAAATAATTGTTGCATTTATTTCAGGTATGTCGTTTAGAAATTTTAAAGTGAAAAATTAATAAATAGAGTGAATAAAAGGATGATTACATTGAAAAAATGCATGATGCACTTTGTCAGAATTGTACAGATGTGTACTTGCATGCTTACAAAGTGGAATTTTTTTTTTAATTAAAAAAAAATGAGTAAGTAACCAATAAGTTAGGAGCTGCATCTTTGCAATGTGTACAATTTAATCATATTTTGCTTTTTTAAATAAACTTATTCCAATCCTTTATTATAATATTGTTAACAAATATTCTACTCTCAATAATTAACTACTGTGTGACTTATACACATCATCTTTTGTATTTGCAGATATCGTAACCATGTCACGTCCAAATTCCGTTAAAAATGACAAAGAAGTTAACGCTGTTATCTTTAATATGAAAGAACAGAGATGTCTTTTGAAGAATTTACATACACTTGATGCAGAAGCTTCATATTCGTTAAAGTTAATCGACCTTAATAACCGTGGGATCAAACTCTTCTACCGACGGTTCAAAGACAAAGTGAACAAAATAAAGTCTCATCTTCAAACGGACGAAATTGCTCGTCTCAAAGTTTTAGATGAAAGTGGCAAAATGAAAGAGCTTGTGAAGCCTTTAAACATTACAGGTGCTCTTAGAATTGCAGATGCAGAAAAACGTCTGAAACTCCAAGGACGCGATCACCAAAGAATGTCGAGAAGGGCGATGCATCGGAAGAGTAGTGATGCACTCCCCGAATCTCCGCGAATGCTTCGTCCAAACACTTGCATAGGTAGTCTTAGAAGAGATTCAGTTCGTCCAAAACGCCCGAGAAGTTTATCCACGGGACGGAAAAGTCCAATTATTACTTTATCATCCCCCGTGGCTGAAAAACATTCAAAAGATGAAGTAAGCAACCAAAGCACTAGTGAAGCCCTGAAACTTGATCAAGCTGCATGTAGCCATGTTTCAAATGAAACAAAATTGCTGACTGTTCCTAACTCAATAGATTCTCATGAAAGTCAAACGGAAAACACACAGCAATCTTCTGCTTGTTCGGTTGTGGAAAACCAGTCTGAAACTGAAAAACAGAAACCAGCTTTTAACCAGACAGCAATTCCTCGTGTATTAGTAACACCAATAGACTTGGGTCAAATAACGGAGGGTCACGGGAATTCACAGCAGCATGAGGAATCAAATAAAAATGTGCAAACTGAAAAATCCTCAAACAAAAAAGTCACGATAGTGGAAGATTTCGAGACCTTCAGAAAATCAGCTGTTGAGAAAAGATGTCGAAGTAGAGGTTCTTCTATATCAAGAATGAGTGCCAATGCAGCCATGAAAGCGGGATTATTTTCTTGTCATACGCACAGTCAGGATCAATTGAAAGAATCTGCAAAATCCCTCTCAAGTCATGGGGATCACCTAGGAAACTACATAATAGACGATCCCTATGAAGAACGCCGTCGAATGCTACTAGATATTGAAAATTCTTATGCAAATAATCTACTGGAAAGAAAAGAAGAGTTTTTAGATGAACTTGATACATATATCACAATGCAAAAGACAGTTGTTGTTCGAAAGAATTCTACTGCAGGAGATGGGGATCCAAATGATCCACTTCAGACGCCGAAACATGGGGAAACTTCATTAGAAAAGCTTACTCGCCGAGAAATGAGGCTTTTAAGGGAACAAGCAAGGCGGCTATCGCAGGCAGAGGCTAAACTTCGTGGTTTAGATTTATTCCAGGATACACCGAAATGTAGGTATTAAAAAGGAAAAAAATTCAGAAAGGTTTTAATTGTGTTTTGGCAATGCTCAGCTCTTTCATACTACATGTTTAATATGCATTTAACAGGTCGGAGAGAATACTCGAAATCGGGTATTATCCGTGAAATCGCGTATAATACCCGATATTGGGGTATCGTTGAATCCGCGAAATCGGGTATAGGAGGTGTAATCACCTAATAAAACTTAACAATGGGATGGCGCATGTTGCCGAGTTAACTTTCATCTAGATACACATGTTTTGTAAAGGCATCACTAGCCAAGTAAGAATTTGGGCGTCAAGATTAATGCGCTCAGGACAAAAAGAATATAGTGTGAGCTCATTAAAAAATGATCTGCACACAAAAAGGCGTTCGATTTGCTTTATATTTTTCATAATGTTGAAAGTATATGCATCTTCATAATGTTCATTCCCAACACAACAGAACTGTAAAGTATCAGAATTCAGGAATTTATAATAATTTACACGACAAATATATACAATTTGTAAAAAATCAAATTATACGGATTTCACACACAAGATATGATGCCATGTATAAACAAGGGATTGTCTATCGTATCTAATTATGCATCATTAATTGTACTTTCACATTCATCTTATGCTTAAAATCAAATTTATTAATGGATGTATAAATAATGTAATGATAAAAATGTCTAAAATTTAGGCTAAAAAAACCCTCTTTCTCTTTTTTTGAAAATCTTTTTTTAATCATTCATACATATTTGCAGCATATGTCTTCAACATTTTAGCAGAGACAGTGATAGTTTCAGGAATACAGCTTTTAAGAGAACATAACTGTTGATTGTTTAAGGGTGAAGTCATCAAAAATTTTACCATTTCATGATCCCTGCGACTTCAAGGGGTGGGGCCAAAACCTTCTGAAAATTAATGCAATCTTTAACTGTGTTCTGCATGTGTCCAAGAGACCTCTCTTTGAATGTCACGGTCGGTTAAACTCGGTTATATATTTTTAATTGTAGGGAACATATTCATCAAATAAAAATCATATAGGTAGACAAAAAGCAACCTGTTATTTTCTAACACAATATGATACTACAAGTAACTAGAATTCATGTTTATTTTTTTAACACATTTTTTCATTATAGATGAGTATTAGGAAAAGTTATTGCCATGAGTAATAAATATCATAGATAAAAATAACTAAAAGAAAACTGTGAAATATTGTCTAGAACCAATCAGATAGTGCATTATATAGCATATTATAATGAGGTATAAGATAGCGATATAAAAAAAAATATAGAAGGTAAAGAGGTAAAAATTTACCATGTCTATCAAATAGTATAATAAAGAAAGGAAGTGGCTACAGTTTTTATGAAATTTTAATGTCCGATGAGGAATTATATTCCCCACAAGTAAAACAAGAGTTTCCAAGGCGCAATTGAACACTCCATAATTTCAGTTTGTTCATTAACATATTCATAAACGTAAAAACTATAAGAAATGTGAAATTTTGACTATGTAATTCATATTTCAATATGACTGTACCTCGATCTATATTGAGAAATTCAATGTATTAAAAGCTCATGAAAAGATGTACACATTTGACTTTTATTTATACCCCCCCCCCCCCAAAAAAAAGAAAATCCTGTTCATATGAACTTCACGCTCTCAATTTTCACACAAATGCATAAAATAAAGAAAAAATACTATAGCATATCTTGTATCGATTGAAATGCAACCAAAAAATTTACGGTGTCTTTGAATAAAAATTTCCATGCTAAATTGACATAAAAAAGATTCTCACCTTCAATTAGCTATTTTCAACCTGTTTTCCGTGGGTATTTATTTAATCTTATTTCATTTTCTCCTTTATAATAACTTTGGTATACAATTATGACTCGCTTATACTGTACTCTCTAACTGTTAGGAATAATTTATATTTCACGTGAAAGGGACGACATTGTTTACATTTTTATAAAAATACATAACACGACGTTAGTCGTTTAATTTCTTTAAAGTTTCACATTTTGTGAATAGTGCACAAATTAGAAAAAAGTATATGAGAATACTTTAATGGAAGAAATAAAGACAAACGAAGTAAAAAAGTTATTTGTTTTTAAAACTTATATTAAAAATATATAACGCCATTGTGTATCATTTGTTACCCCAGCGGTGTTTGTCGTGTGATTTTAATTTTATTTGACAACCGTATGAATAAGTTTAATAAAAATAAATCCACAAGATACTGATGTACAAGTAACAGTAACTGGCATAATGCGCCGTTGCTTTATAATTTTGTTTTTAAAGAAATTTTACGGAACAATTTCGCTACACATACACCTAATACAGTATTAAAAAAATACCCGAAGATATATCTGAAAGACTGTTTAAGAAGTTATTAATCATGAACAAATATACTTTTCGATAACGTCACAAAATTTATATACCTGAGCTAAAACTCAAGGCAGCTATGATGAAATAAGCAATTAAATGTCCGTCCGTCTTTCTATTTGTAAGTTTTCATTATGTGTCCAGTCTGTAATCTTTTCACATTTTCAACTTCATAAGAAAAGAATGTACAAATGTTAATAATTGATTTATGAAATTTTTTTTTTGATTTGTTAAAATGGAGACTTTTCAAGCCTTATTCTAAACCTAAAAATAAAAAAGACGAATATAGTGTGGGGTCATTAAAAAATCTTCTCAAGACCCACTGGGCCAGGAAAGCTGAAACTTATGTGGAAGCATGCTGGGATAACTAAAAATAAATTAATGTTAAAATCTGACCCTTTGATAAGCCACAATGGTGCCAAGTTTTACATAAAATATATGAATTTCGTGGCTTTTCTCAAGATCACAGGGCGAGATACTGAAACTTATGTGGAAGCATCCTTACATGATACTCAGGTGACCTATAAGGCCCATGGGCCTCTTGTTTAGAGTAGGATCTTAACCCCCGAATTTACCACTTCGGCTAAAAAGTTAATATGAAAAGCAATTGATATTCAAAAGGAAATATGATTATTTTCGAGGAATTGTTAAACTAAAGTGTGAATTGCAAGTCATCTCACAAGTCCCATCGACTTATAAGATGTAATATTGAAAGTTCAATCAAGTCGGTAAATTTGTTGTGTTTGTTATCCAAAAGACTCTTGTAAACCATTGATTTTGCATTTGTAGAAGAACAAGCTACAAGATCCGCGGAAGCCGACCATCTACTTCCAAAATTTTTCTTCATCCTGAAAATGCTGGATGCATCAGTCACAAGGGGTCCTTGTTGCTGCAGAGACGAATATAATTATTGAGATTCTGAAATAAGAATCAAGATTCAAAATATATTTTTGTTATCTTGTTTTAAACAGAAATGCATTCCAAATAAAATTGATCTGAGTCGTGTTATTTCGATTTTTAATAAATAGATGTATAGCTAGGAAAACGCAAGGCAAAAAGAAAAGGGGAATGAAAGGATTGAAATTCAAATGGTATTTATTGCAGCTACGAGGAGTACCATATTCGTTAAAAAACAGAGAACAAATTATTAAATACGAAGATTGATTTGGCATTTTCTTTTGAAACAATTTTTCACTTCAGTAACAGCAGAAATACAACAGCACAACTAGAGGTACTGTGAGCAATCAGCTCATTAAATGATATCCCCCGCCTCCCATATGTACAAAATGGCAGTGTCCATGTTTTGCTGTGGGAAACCCAAAATATGTGTCGGATCAAAAAGTAAAATAGTAGGTACACAATGGCAATATGTAATAAAGATTCTTTAAAAGTTTCATCAAATTTCATTTACATGTAGTGGTAAGTGGTTTGAGAGGAGTTGCGGATAAGAAATTGGTACCCCAAAGCGTATCGGACAGACGGACGTATGGACAGACGGACGGACATACTGATTACTATATACCCTCCCGCTTTTCAAGCGGGGGTATGATAATCTTGTATTTGTGTGTTGTAGAGAACAGAACTAAACATTGGAGCTTTTTTAGTAAGTCTATTATTATAAAAGCGAGTTAAGCTTGAAATTTTCTGCATAATTTCAGAAACAGAATATTTTAAACGTTAGTTAGCTTTCCTTTCCCTTTTGCATTGTAGCACTGCCTTCAACTACTTTTGCAGTAAGATTTACTGTGAAAAATCTAAAGCTAGGCACTACATTTAATTTTGAGTCAATATCAAGCTTTCAATTAAGTATAAAATAAAACAAACAAACTTTTTTCTTCCAAAAGTCAGATATCTTTGCTAAATTAGGTACCTTTCTAACAGTACTTTACAGTTCAATATGTTTTTCACAACTTTATAAAATGCATTTAGTTTTCTTGCTCCAAATTTTCTGTGGACATTTTCAAGAATGTATTTTAACAATTTACTCAACTAAAATTTATTAATTTAATTTCCATTGAAAGAAATATTGATAAAATACCAGTGTAACTCTTCTGTGTGGGAGAAAAGAAAATGTGTTTGTGGTTTGGATTCTCAAGAGGTGCGATTTAATTCTGTTGCAATAAAAAATAGAGTTGTCTTCCTTCTACCATATTTAGGTTTGGCCATTTCTTTCAGAATTCCTGTTGAAAGAAAGGGACTAAGGTAGAATTTTCGTTTCAGGTTGATTTCTTTAATCAAACTCGTTGAATTTGCTTTAAAATTAATTGATTTCTTGTAAGCTCTAAAAAGCACGTTAAAGTTAATGGTTATCTGTAAGTCTTGGAAAGGAGACATTATTAAGAAATAATTTTGCATTTTAAAGGGACATGGACACAGTTTCAGCTAAAAAATTTCAAATTTATTTTTCCTTTTTTTATGTTTACAAATTTTAGACTAAGATATTTGTAATGATGATCAAAAATTTAAATTTTAGTTGTCTAGATACAAGATATATTTATAGCTTCAAACATTTGTAAACAAGGCCCGTGATGTGTTTTTGTTTACATAGGTTAAATATACTAATATATATTCGTTCAAATCAGAATTTTTCAATAAAGAAGTTAAATCTATATACGATTGGACAGTTTCTAGT